TCTGGCACACACCTACACACTGGAACACACGCACACACACACACCCTGACACAGACATGCAAACATGAACCGGACTCTCTGAGCCTCCCCCGCACTTTGCTCTTCGTGAAATGGGGAAATAAAAACACATCCCACTTCCCGTTAATCAGCAGCGAGGTGGAAAGGGGGACGGCACGAGTGAGGAGTCTCAGTGACTCACCGCACTCTGGCCTCCTGAGGCCTCCAAATGCCACAGATAAAATCAGGGGGAGTTGATCAAACAGTTTCAGCACTGAATTGTCTGAGAACTGATCTGGGGCTCAAACCTCTCCGGCTGATAGACCAGTCTTCCTTCACTCCCTTCACTCATCCCAGAGTCCTCAGAGTAAAATTCACAGCCGAATCATAAGGGAACTGAAAGTCTGAAGCCAGAACAACCATGTACTTAAAATAAACTATTTTCTTTCCCATAAATACACTTTAAGGAAAAAAAAGGTTTTGTGGTTCTTCAACAGTTCTTTGTAGAGTTAAAGGTTTTGAGTTTCCTAAAGAGATTCCCTTTCTTATAAATAAACTCTCTGTAGTAGGTTCTATTTCCTATAACGTAAGTACTGTATATATGGTACAAGTTGTTCATATACATTTTTGGAGTTTATTTGGTGGTGCAAAATTATAATTCTTAGAACTATTGTGATCCAGTGAGTGAAGCTGAAATTGTATTTTAACTGTGATCATGATTTTTGGCTTCCTCAGTTAATTAATCATAGCTAAAGTGTTCACTGACTCTGGTGCGTTAAAACATGAGCTGTGGTTTCATATTTATTCACTTGTTTTGAGCCTGCATGTATTTATACTTTAATATAAAGCAAAAAATTGTATGAATATAAAATTTTATTTTATTTTATTAAATATTTGTATTTAAATTATTAGTCCATTGTGCTGTTGTGATTTTAGGAGTTATATGCTGAAGAAATATGCTTATAATTTATAATTTGAAAGAAAAACCTTAAAAAAAAAATACAATGAAGTTAAAATTAGAAATGGCATGAAACCACTTTTTATTTCTGACAGCAATACAAAAAAAATCTTTTCCAAAGCCAGTTCAAATTTCCTCGATTTGCTACAGGATCGAATCAAATTTGTTATTTTTCTCTTATATCCGAGCTACCATTTTCTGGTGTCAGAAATATCAAAAATAATAAAAATAAAAAATATATAATAATTTTGGTTAATATTGTTTCTAATTTTAGCCAATGTCTTGCAGCCTTCCATGAATTTAGGACAATTTCCATTAATAAAAATAATTTTAAAAAAAATTTAATAAAATAATACAACTGTGCACATAAAATTAATATAAATAATAATTAATATAGAAAATGAGTTCATAACAGATTAAACTGCTCTTACATTTTTATTTTTGAGACGTTTTTTCTCCAAAATGTCCTGTTTCTCTAAAACCTTTGCAGACTCTCATATACATAAAGAAGTCAAATAAAACAGTATATGTGCCCTGGGAGTTGAAAGCTTTGCTCTTTGTTCTACTATTAGTTGTACTTAGCAGTTCAATCATCTCAGAAATAATATTTGAGTTGGTAATACGCCACTGATTTTATGTGAAACCGGCTTCACAAGTCCCCTAAGTGTGATGTGCTCATGTGACACACATCCTCAACAACCTGCTGCAGTGTGTCAACTTCCAGTTTATACCTGATGCACAATGCTTTTAAAAAAGGGGTCATGACCTGTATGCTAAGCTCTCCAACCAAACGCTGCACTACTGAGGGTTAACTGTGCTTCAGTGATCGTAAAAGCAACACATTGTTATAGCAAAGATATTTTATTCCTACACTTATTATGTGTGAAGTCCTTGTGGAGATCTGTAACAGCTCTATTTTTCACTCAGGGAGGAAATTGGCTACTTTTTTTTTCCTCCTCAAATGCTCCACGGTCTCAGATTGCAAGTCTCAACAAGACAAAAGGGCTTTGGAGTCATTACAAAAAAAGAAATTACCACTTGAAGATTTGTAAACCAGCACCATGCGCTGTTAACATGACTACAGATCGTTCATTAGCAAGGCGCTGACACACAAGAGTGCCAAGTTCTCTCTGCTGTCTGTCAGCCTTTATGTCACAGGTTGTCAGCACGTCATTAGTCACAAACAAGTAAAGGTACTTTGTCAGAACCGTCACATGTTAGCTTGTCTTTCAGACTTTTTCAGTTCTTAAAGATAATTTGGGGGCTAATGTGTGCGTGTGTGTGTGTGTGTGTGTGTGTCATGTTTTGTAAGAATTTCCACATTCTTTCCAGTAATAGTTGAATAAACCCATAGTACTTGAGAATATACTGCACATATTGCTCACTGCATTTGAACACCGAACACTCTTTAACACCCCCCCAAATGAACTAAAAAAAAATCCCCCCAAACCTCAAACTTTTCCAGCTACTTTTTAGACTTTGCCCTACTCTCTCTCACGATCGTTCCTGACTCACCAGTCCTCTACCAACAGTTTCTGTTCATCCCTCAATCCAACATTCCTGATCTCCGTCTGGAATCGCAGATAACTACTCATCTTGTTTAATTACTCATATCATTTTTTTTTTTTTTTGCATTTCAAATTAATGATTTCAGTGATTCATATGAACCCCAACAACCCTAATTATAGAGCATCTCAAATGAACAGTGCTCGTCTAAAATCATATGACCTCCCACTCATGTAATTGTGTATAGACATAATACGTCAAAGACTGATCCGGGATTAGCAGCCTCTTAATTCATATAAGCGCCGGTACTGATTAGCAAGTCCCACAGCTGCTGCTGATTCACCGAACACACCACATGTGAGTGCAGTTATCTTTTTGTACATATCTGAGTCTGACTTAATTAAAAACAGCTTGTATCATTTACCATGTGCACAGGAAGAACAGCTCTTATCATCTCCTTTTTAAACTGGATTAATGGATGGATGGATGGATGGATGGAGGGATGGACAGAAGAGAAGGTTAGTTGGATGAATGGAAGAAAATGGAGAATAGATACATGACAGAAAAGTGTAGAAGGAAAAATGGATGGATGCACTGAGAAAAAGGATAGATGGATGGATGGATGGACGTTTTATGGATGAAAGAAAAGAGTAGTTGAATGGATGGAATAAAATGTAGGATAGATTGATGGATGGAAGGTTGGAAGAAAAGTGTAGTTTGTTAGATGAAAGAAGATGGAGGATAGCTGGATGGATGGATGGACGGATTGTTGGATGAACAGAAGAGAAGGTCAGAATAGGTAGATGAGTCAGAATAGGTAGATGAAAGAAAAGGGTAAATGGATAAATGGAAGGATGGAGGAAAATGAAGCTTGGATGATAGACGAGATGGGTGGATTGGTAGATGAATGAACAGATCAATGGTAGATGAAAGAAAAGAATGAAAACGATGGACGATGGATGGATGGAGGGAGGGATGGATGGTTGGGTGGGTGGGTGGAAGGATAGGTCATGGATGGACGGATGGATGGATGGATGGATGTCAGATGGATAAAGGGTGAATGGATGGATGTCAGATGGATAAAGGGTGAATGGATGGATGTCAGATGGATGGATGCTGGATAAATGAATGGATGGATGACAGGTAGACGGAAGAAGAGATAAAAGGATAACCACACTGGGCAGTTTGGCAGAGAAGATAAACCACTGGTATTGTGTATTATTTCCTTCACTAGTGCTACTAATGAGTAAATATAATAAAGTGGTGGTGATACAGCTGTGTGTGGGTGAGACAGACAAACACATACCCCTCACTGAGAGAACACTCACTTTCTCACAAACACCCACACACACGAACTCCTCACGTGTGTATACACACACACACACACATAGAACAGAGGTCTCTGAAGTGTTTCCAGGACCCACACACACTCAACCACTGACAGGGCCAAGTAATCAACCCCGGGGAAAGGCCTGTGACTCATGATGACTCACTCACTCTAACGAAGAGACAGAACAAGCAGCTTGAGTGCACAGACAGTCAGTCACGCTTTACTGACAGACACACAGACATAAACAGACGGACAAGATTAAATACCAACACACACACACATATAAACAGTTACATAACTCTCACAGAGTCTGGAAAAATTTGGACTTTCAGCAGGGAATCACCTTCTGTTTTATATTCTGATTTTAGCAATATACCTGAGAAGCCAGTCCACTCAACCAGAGGTCTCCACCTGGGCCTTAAAAATGATGTCATCCATATGGGGAACCACTCTGGGGGACTTTAGACGCGGTTCCCCACCCACAGCCTTTCTGATTGGGGACGAGAAGGTGAAAGCTTCCAATGGTCTGGAACTTCCACACTCATGTGAAGCCCCCTTCACCCGTATTCTCTTATATGGAGGTCTTACTCGGAGGTAAAGCTCTGTCGATCAAGCATCTCCAAAAGTGTTTTGGTTTCAGATCCTTTTGAGTGAATCCTAATCTGAGCCTTTTACAGAAGAAACTGCAAAACTGATCTAAGATGAGCGTGCTTTCTGATCAGTATGATTGCTCATAAAGCTCCTTGTTGCCTGTGGTAATGTGACAGAAAAACACAGCAGCAGGCGATATGAGTGTATAGCTTCACATGATACAGCTTGACATGATATGTGATGTGTTTGTGACGAGGTTGATGAGGTTTTCCAACTCCGGGTTGGACAGATGGAGCGCGGCTCTGAATATCAGAATGTATTTAGAGTGTAACACTGCTGCTTGGGGGGGTAAAAGGGGAGGAGTAGTTTTGGGAAATGCTTAATAAGCCAGCACATGAACATGCATGAACATGCACAAACCTTTTCATTTACAACTGTCTTGCATAAACTGCTTTCCTCTATCAACACTTTTGTAGCATCTTATTTAACCCAGTAAGTGGATTTATTTAAAACGAGATTTGCATCAAAAGAAATACTATACGTATTATACTATACAAATACTATACTATAAATATTATACAAACATTTTACATTGTTGATTGATGACATAAAATTGGGTCCCTGGAGGACTAGTGGTTAGGCCTCGGTGCACTCACCGCCACGGCCCAAATTCGATTCCCGGCCAGGGAACCAACCTCAGCCACTGGAGCTGCACACAACAGTGCACTTTCACTGCCAGTCCCAAACCCGGATAAAACTGGGGAAGGTTGCATCAGGAAAGGGCATCTGGCATAAAAACTGTGCCAAATCAAACATGCAGACCAATGATCCACTGTGGCGACCCCTAAAGGGAGCAGCCAAAAGAAGAAGAAGAATGATGCCCTAAAATTGAGATGTGTTTTAGGTTTATAACTAATTTGAGATTTTTTGTAATTCTCTTAAATTTGTTTTGTTTTGGGTTAGGAGGTGTTTTATATAAGCAGTAAAACAAATTAAATATTGTTTTCTCCATTCTAAACTTCATACCACATAAAACTATCCAGGCTGAAAAAAATCTAAATGTAAAGACTATGCAGATGGATGGATGGATGGATGGATGGATGGTTGAATGGATGGATGGATGGATGGATGGATGGATTTTGTGGATGCATGGATGGATGAAATGTTGAGGCTTTATGGAGGGGTGGATGGATGGATGGATGCAAGGATGAATGAAATTGGCTTTCTGGATGGATGGATAAAATATTCATGCTTGGTGGAGAGATGGAAGGATAGACGGATATTTCTGAACAGATGTATTTATGGCTGGATTAATTTTGTGGATGCATTTTTGGAATTGGTGGGTGGTGAGATTGGTGGGTGGATGGATGATGGATGGATCAATTGGGTTTTTGAACAGATGAATTTATGGCTAGCTGGCTGGCATGATGGACGGTTGAATTGTTGGACTGGTGGGTGGATGGAAGCATGGATGGATGGATGGATTTTGTGGATGCATGGATGAATGAATTGCATGCATGGATGAATGATTAAAAAGTAGGAAGTATTTACTGATGAATAGAGCAAAGAAATATAGTAGAGAGAAGATGGACAGATTAGAGTTTTAAAAGTATAGATGAGTGGATGCCAGAAAAGGGTATATAAGGGTAGAGGGATGGATGGATTAGTATAATGGAAAATGAAGAAAATGAAGCATGTAAATGAATGAATTAGAGGGATGAAACAGGATGATTGGAGCTAAATCAGACTGAGAACATGATGGATAGAAACAGAGGGAGTGACAGAGAGAAAGCGAGGGAGAGAAAGAGAGCTGCCAAGTCACTTGTGTGTGTTCACATATGCATTCACAAAGATACACACACTTCACACACATACACACACTGCACAGATTAACACTTTCTCTAAATGCAGCATATAGGAATTCATCAAGGTTCTGGACAGACAGAGAGAGAGAGAGAGAGAGAGAGAGAGAGAGAGATGGGGGTTGGACTGGGTGTTAAGACATAAGGTGATGCTAGCAGATATTTGCTCTCTCACTCAGGTTTTCACCTTTTTTTCCCAACAATCACATGCCTTTTTCACTCTCATTGGCCTTGTGTAGGTTTAGTGTGGAGATACTTTTAGCCCATATTCCAATTATTCATTTCCTGAGTTTTTTTTTTTCACAGATAGGAGCAATTGGCATTAAAAAAAAACTCATCTCATGTCTCACTTGAGAGGTCAAATTCAGTTTGTGTGCTTTCACTCATCATTAGTTCATTCTTTCCCCCAAAACTGTGTATGTGGATGCTGTATTGATCATGCTGGGTTTTTTTCTCTTCCAAACATGAGCTTCACTGCAGAGAGAAAAGGAAGTGAAACCTGCTCGCCTGGACGCAGAGGAAACAGCTCGAACCCTCTGTGCAGAAAACGAGATTAAACTTCGCTGCTGTAGTGTGTGAACTGACTGGCGGTTGAGGGTCTGCCGTGTCTCACACGCACACACACACACACACACACACACACACACACACACGTTTATGCACTTTGCAAAAGTGTGCAGAAAGGATTGTTATTGTAGATGAAGCACTGATGTCACGTGTTCACGTGCAGCAGCTTGATTGCACGTAAGCACAAAAGCGAATACATTCTATAAATCATTCCTACTGCAAGGCGTTGATTAATTTTCTGTTACAGCAGCTCTGATGGTACATTATCATTTGTATAGTAAAAAGTTGTATAGTGAGTCCTCCACATAATCTATCACCAATAATAAACAAATGTTTAAAAAAGTGCTGTTATTTTACAAATAAAAACGTATAACTATTGCTCTGGTTAGGTGTTCTGAAAGGAGATGTTTATTTTTTTTATTGTATTTATGGAAGGAGTCTCCAGTGTCAGAGCTTTGTAACATTCAGTAAGTTCATTTCAGGACAGTGATAACATTAACTGTAACTCTAAATGGATTAAAGGTATGGTGTTCATTGTTTGATTTAATATTACTTACAAAAACTGAATAAATATGGTTAATTTTTAATTAAGCACTGGTGTTGGATGTCATTATAAAGCACAACTATTAATCAATTTCCATATCTACAGTCTTAGAAAAAAAGTTTCAGTGTAGACCTTTAAGGTTCTTTGGTTTGGTCCTTTGTGGGGAATGCTTGTTTCCTAATTAAACAAGGCTCCAAGTAGAAAAAACAAAGAACCTTTAACTGTCTTACAAACTTTTTTATTAGAGTGTAAAATCCCAGTGTGAGGTGAAATCTTAAACAAAGGCTCTTATCCTACGTTCACACTAGCAAGTGACAAAGCGGCATGTGATCATTACATTTCATGCAGAGCCGCACTTTCAGCAATAAGTGACAGTTGAACTGAGATGATCTCAATTCTATGTGAATTAGATCTGACAAGGTAAAGCGGCAAATCCAAACTATTGGACCAAGTCGAAGGTTTCTTCAGTTACCCTAACATTTCCCACACCCCCATTTAACCGGTCTTCAAGTACATCTTCAACTGCTCGGCTCTCAGTTTGGGTTGACCTCTACCAAATCATCTCACAAATAAATAAATGCAAACGTTAAACCTTCCCATACTGCAAATTTAAATTTCTGAGGCCACCTCAGATGAGTGGTGAAAGTCGAGATTAAATAGAGTGAAACTGCTGTATATCACCTAAAATGTCGTTGATGTCTGCGGTTAAAATTTTCGCCAAAACTCATGGTCCAGCTGCACGTTAATGAAAATTTCAGTTGTTTCGTCCTACACTGGGGTCCCCCCACCACCACAAGGGGCCCCCCACAGTGTGAGCGTTACGTGCATCTTCCCAACACCCCTGGCCTTCATACATTCACCATGAGAAATTGAAAATCTGGCGTTATTTTAAAAGTTCTGCATTTTTCCCCTCCAGAAACCAAAAATGCAAACATGATGAGGCGTGCAGCTGTTTTGGTAATGAAAATTGCTCAACCGGCTCGACAGTGACGGGCAGAAACTGGTGTGGCTTGATTTTCGTGTTTAATGGAAGTGGTATGTCCAAACTCATAGACATGAGGGTGGCAAGCAAATAAGCGTACATTTGCATTTGTAGGAAATCAGATCTTGGTGCAGAATAAATGTTTTGGTTAAACAGGCTAATGACATCCCTGTATGTCATTCATACTGGCTCCTGAAAAACTGTACTGTCATTGTCACAGTATGAGTACAGAGACAACGAAATTTAGTTAGCATCCAACCAGTAGTGCAAATAGCAAAAAAGTTAAATGAGGAAATAATGTTATGGTGCAATTAGTTAGCAGTGTACAGGTAGAGGTAAACAGTATGATGCATATAATGCAGAATATCTTAACCTGTTTCTTCACATATTTGCCCTATTTTTTTTTTTAAATCTTGATTTTAAAAAAATTTAAATCTTTAAACATTTCAATCTTTATTTCAATATTGTCATGTGTCTGACCTGAACCTGCTTATAGAATCTTTGGATATAAGCATCTGACAAATGAATAAAGTCCGAATGTAAAGATTGCACAGGAGTAACAGGCCTCTCAGTGATCCAGGTCCAATTTGGGAAGGCAAGGTTTTTTACAAGGGTGGCAGTTGCCTCTCTGTTCCACCCTGTGCCATCTGTGGACATGTCTATAAAGGGAACTATTTTTTTTGTTTGTTTTTAAATGCAAACATTTCCCTTTAAATTGGCCAGATAACCTTATGCTACCAGACCTCCAATAAACCCTGCGTACCAAATTAGCCACAATTAGCATTTTTGGGTAAAGTACCCCCTTCAACACATGGGTTCATGTGAGCGTGAAAGCTGAATGAACAGGTTGGATGAGAATCCGGAAGGAGCCCTGCAAGAACAAACCTGTCACTGTGATTCACAGATTGGTTAACACATCACTTCCTCAATGACGTCAATCAAATAACAGTTAACACTTAATGAAAAATCAAGCTGATCAGGCTGCGATCTCACAACAGCTACAGCAGCATCACAACTGGGATTTGTTATCAGCAGGCCAAGAGTGGCGCAAGAAAACTGACGCATGTACAGATGAAGTGAGAGATCACAGTCTTCCAGATTTCCACTGTATTTTCTGTTGTATCACAAGAACTATGTAGAGAAAGAGTTGTTTTTGGGGGGAAAAAAAGAACCTGAAGATAAAGTGATTTGGCCACCACATCAGTCATAAAATAAGCCGAAAAGCTCTACGCATTAGCTGAGTGATATTTATAATGCACTTTAAAGTGTAGGAAAGGTCTCATTTAGGTCATCTTAAATCCCTCTTAATTGCTGTTCAAATAGCTTTACTGAGAGACACACACTCGCATCTGAGCACCCTAACATCCTCCACACACACACATACACGCGCACACATACACAGACACCCACCTACACACACACACATATACACGCACACACACACAGACACCCACCTACACACACGCTTGCATACGCATGCACACACAACCACACACATAGACACCCACCCACACATACACAACAGGAAATAATGAGAACATCCGGTTTGAATTGGTGAGAATTTTGGCAGGAAGTACTGCAGTGTTGTGGGACAGAGCATCAACCTTTTTTTTTTGTTTTTTTTTTTTCAATCTAAAAATTCATTAAAAAGGAATGAAAATCCTTCAATATTTCTCTTTGATTTTATATATTAAATTTATTAATAGTTATTAATTGTTTTTTTATATAACAATTT